CCATCCACAGCAGCAGTCTGGGGGCGGGTCCATCCACAGCAGCAGTCTGGGGGCGGGTCCATCCACAGCAGCAGTCTGGGGGCGGGTCCATCCACAGCAGCAGGTTGGGGCTGGAGTGGCTGGAGGTGGAGATGTGTCACGCGGGGCTTTCAGCAGCGTTCAGGCCTTCGCTACTTCTGGAGGTTTCTGCTGGTTCAGCGCACGTCTTTGTGACCTGGCCGCCAGCTGGGGCAGCGGGACCTGGAGACGGAGAGGCGGCTGCGCAAGGACCTGAAGCGGACCAAGGTGCTGCTGGCGGATGCCCAGGTCATGCTGGAACACCTGAAGAACAGCGCCCCCAGCAGGAGGGAGATCTCCCAGCTCAAGAACCAGGTGGGCAGAACCCCTTGTAGCTGCTGTCACTGCAGTTTCCCTTACGGCCTGCAAAGGGGGTCAGCGAGGCCCTGTGGTGCTGAAGGTCACCATTTGCTGCATGACCCCTGACCCCTGACCTCCTCCACAGTTGGAGGAGTCAGAGTTCACGTGTGCAGCTGCCGTCAAGACCCGCAAGTCCATGGAGCTGGAGATGGAGGACCTCCATCTGCAGATGGATGATGTCACAAGGGCCAAGTCCTCTGTGAGTGGACACGCCTCCCATCCCCCCTGGTATCACTCCCTCACTTTTCGAAATGCGGAGGGAGCTTGTCCCCCCTACAGCGTGCAGGTAGCGTCTAATTGGCTTGTTTTGCAACAACGCAGCAACTGCTAGTCTTATTCTAAGGCTGTTCTCGCCACCCGGGAGAAGTTGCACTTTGTTGTGGTTTAAGCAGGAACGCTCAGTGCAGTGCATTCTGGGAATCGGTCACACTCCGACAGGATAGATTAGGGTTATCAGTGAAACGATAGGGTTGGCAAATCACAGACCTGTTAGAAGGACAGGCCCCACATGCTCACAGCTTGGGGGGGCGTTGTTGTAAGGGGGGCTTTGTCACAACCTCCTACAGGGATGGTATCACACGTGTGTCTCCCCTAGCTGGAAGAGCAGGTGAGCCGGCTGCAGCGCGAGAAGAATGAGCTGCAGTCACGCATGGAGGAGGACCAGGAGGACCTGAATGAGTTGATGAAGAAGCAGAAGGCGGCCGTCGCCCAGGTAACCGGCCTCTCCCCCTCCTGTGACCGAGGTCAGGCCCACTGGGTCCAGCTGAGACATGTAAAAGGGGGGGGGGTGCAGTAACGCTGCCTAATGACCTACGTGTCACACACAATGGTGGCATCCCTGCTGCTACACGCTCTGGGATTCCCTCTGTTACTCACCTCATCTCTCTCTTCCAACATGGCAGTCAGCCCGAGACCTGTCCCAGATCAGCGACTTGCAAGCACAGCTGGAGGAGGCCGTCAAAGAGAAGCAGGAGGTCCAGGAGAAGGTCACTGGTTTATCTACCTATAGCTTAGTTTATGACGATCTGTCATTTTTATTCGTTCATGAATGCATTAAAGGGGCCCTATAATGTTTTTCCCTTTCATTTAGTGTATTATATAGCTTTATATGCATGGTCTGCAAAGTCTTAAGGCCCAAACTACACACCAAAGCAAGTAACTCTCGCTATAACTTATATAGACTTATAACTTTTCTAATCTGCCTGAAATGCCTCGTTGGAATTCCAGCCCATACTTCCGTGACGTGGTGAGGTCACCTTGTAGCACAATCCTTATTGGCTGCCTACCTGTAAAGCTCCAACAGAGTGTTTCAGACAGAATAGTATCAGAAAAATATGAGAAATATGACAGAAATAATGTGCTTTGGGACCATAGAACCAAATTGCCCATAGGTGTGTGTGTGTGTGAGTGAATGGTGTGTGAGTGCACCCTGTGATGAGTTGGAGCCCCATCCTGGGTTGTTCCCTGCCTTGCATCCGTAGCCGCTGAGATAGATTCTGAAGCCCCCGTGACCCTGAACAGGACAAGCAGTTACTGAAAATGGATGAATGGAACATTGAAGCATGTCTATTCCAGTAGACTCTAAAAATAAAATTACGAACGGTGAAAATGAGGCATGATCGAGTTCTCCTAATGAAGCCTTTGTCCCATGTGACTGTGTGGTCCGTCTCCATGGTAACGCCTTGCTTGCCATCCTGACCCAGGTCCAGGCCCTGCAGAGCCAGCTGGAATTCCAGGAGCAGTCCATGGTGGACAGATCGCTGGTCAGCAGGCAGGAGGCCAAGGTGCGCGAGCTGGAGACCAAGCTGGAGTACGAGAAGTCGCAGGTCAAGAGGCTGGAGGTGAGGGCGGAGCTGGACGGACTCTCTACCTGCTAAAGACACCCTCAATCACTAATAGCACCATCCACCCTCTGAAGTTCCCTCCACCAATAAAAACACTTCTTCCTGCTAAGACTCCACCCACTAACATTTTCTCCACTCATTAAGATAATCTCCATCCACTAATAAAGTCTCCGCCCACTAACATACCCTCCACTAACATAATCTCCACTTACTAAAATCATCTCCACCCACTAACATCATCTCAACATAATGTACACCCATTATCATGCTCTCTAACTTTTCCTCCATCCGTTAATGTACCCCTTTCCTGCTAACGTACCCTCCATCCTCCAATGTACCGTCCCTGCGGCTCCCAGGGCTCGAAACTCCGGGCCGTCCCTGACCTACTCTCCCCCCTGAGCTCGCAGGGCCTGGTGGGCCGCCTGAAGGAGAGCATGGAGAAGCTGACGGAGGAGCGCGATCACCACGTGGCCGCGGAGAGCCGGGAGAAGGAGCAGAACAAACGCGTGCAGAGGCAGACGCGGGACCTGAAGGAGGAGATGGCGGAGCTGGCCAAGAAGGAGGCGGAGGCCAGTCGCAAGAAGCACGAGCTGGTGAGCCCGCCCCCACTCCGGCGGGGAGAGCCGCCAGCCGGAACGCCCCCCGCTTATGTTTGGAGCATTTGGGCTAACTGCGTCGTTTAAGGGCACAGCATGTGCGGCGAGTGTGGGCCTGTCCCCATGGCGACAGCTCACCTCCCATTCCAATGCCATTCCCTCGGCAGGAGATGGACGTCGAGAGCTTGGAGGCGGCCAATCAGAGCCTGCAGACCGACCTCAAGCTGGCTTTCAAGCGGATCGGCGATCTGCAGGCCGCCCTCGAGGACGAGATGGAGAGCGACGACAACGACGACCTCATCAACTGGTACGCGGCCAACCGTGGGGGGGTGGTGGGAATGCAGACACCATGGCTCCTCTGTGGAGGCCGGGATGACTCTCCTGCTCCATCCCTTTCCCACGCTGCATACTGTCTCTTTTATTTTTCTTCTTCCTGGTGTCTCGTCTCATATTCTGTTGTTCTCTTCCTATCCTCCTGGCCAGCGTGCAGAACATGGTGACTAAGTATCAGAGCAGGAGGAGTAAAACGTGAGCCTTTGCTTCTAACCTGCGATCCCCTCTTGCTGGGGTTCTACTCCTCAGACCCTAACCCCTCCGTAACTGATTCAAACAATCCTAACCTTCTTCAGTGTGACCCAGGCTCTGTGTGTGTGTGTGTGTGTGTGTAATCTGCTCTAGGCCAGTGTTTCCAAACCCAGTCCTCAGGGACCACCAGACAGTCCAGGTTTTTGCTCCCTCCCAGCTCCCATCCAATCAAGAACATCGAATACCTGGTACAAGTGTGTTGGAAGCGGGGAGGGAGCAAAAATGTGGACTGTCTGGAGGTCCCTGAGGAATGGGTTGGGAAACACTGACCTAGATGGACTGTGCCTGTCAAACCGCAGTAACTAACGCCACGTTAGTCAACACGCGTTTGTGTAATAAATCGCTTGCTGTTAACGCTGATATATGAAGAGATGGCCGCCATAAACCTGCCGGCGTGAAAAGAGGGATAAAGCTCTCTCTCTCTCTTCCAGTGGGGACGACTCTGACATGGACTCTGAGGTGGAGGACCGGGTGGATGGTGTGAAGTTGCACCTATCCAGGAGCAAGGACTCCAGCAGGACCCTGTCAGATGACGTCAGCATGAAGAGCCCTAGGTGGGTGACTCTGTGGGCTGGCCATCTTCTCCCCATTCCTCCGTGGAATCCAGACCTGTAGAAGGTCCAGCTCCCCAGGCAGGATGAGTGACACATCATCCCTAATCGGGGATGTGTTGTAACCCTGAAAAGACAGAGAGTAGGCTGCATAGCATCACCAAGAGAGGGGTATATAAAGGGGTGGGGACACGGGGGGGCAGTGTAGGCAAAGGTCTGCCCCCTCCTCATTGTTACCTTTTTAATTCACCCACATATCTCTTCCTCTCCCTCGTCGTCACTTCGGGGTCTTTGTTTCCGCCTCCGCCACCCCGCACACACACCCAGGTATGGCGGGAACTCTGACACTAAGGAGCAAATGGAGGCTAAAGGGGATGTGAAGAAGGGAGGGGGTGAGGAGCCCCCGAAGACGGCAGCACCCCCTGGTGTGGCCAGCAGCTCGCTCAGCTACCGCAAGAGGCGCCGCATGCGGGACACCATCGGGGGCACAGGGGACGAGGCCTCACTCCTTAGCGCCCTCACGGAGCACGCCGAGGATGACCGGCCCTCCTTCCGCAGGGATGCCACCCCCATGTCCCGGGGGAGGTCTGTGGGCGGAGATGATCTAGACGACCTGGGATCTGTCATCTCGCAGGCCTACACTGAAGCCAGCAGCCGTGCCAGGACCGGGTTGGATCGGCGCTGGGCTGACAGTGACAGGGGGTCCGTCGTGTCATCTGTGGTCCCCTCCCGCACCTCCACCCACTTGGGTCTGGACGACGAGGCTGACAACAGGTCCATCCTGAGCGGCTTGGACCTACCAAGCCCCCGTGGCCTGCACCGGAGCTCATCCTGGCGGGATGCTGGAGGCAGTGACATCTACGGGCCACGATCGGGGGCCCGAAGCCCAGGAAGTGTTACTGTCAGCTCCTCTCTGGCCCGCAGCAGCCGGATCAGCGAGTTCGGTGCCGTGGGTGACGCCGACAGCGAGAGCGCCTCCCTCAGCGTGTCACGCGCCAGCACGTACAGCCCCGGCTCGCTGGGCCGCAGCCTGTCTCTGCCCGCAGCAGAACCTTCCGGAAGTAGGGCCACCAGCTACCGCAATTACCTGGACCCGGAGCTAGAGGCCGCCATCAACGAGGTGCTGAGTTTCAAACCCATCAAGTTCAAGCGTAGAAGCCTGGAGGACTCCGAAGAAGAGCAGAACAAGGATGAAGACCAGGAAGCCCCACCAGACCATGGGAAGACCTCTGTCCTGAGCCGCACCTCCTCCAGCCTGGCTCCTACAAGCCGTCGTAGCCGTGGGAACCGTGAAAGCCACACCTCCGACTCAGATAACTTCTCCCCAGACCAACGCCACTCAACAAGCTCCCGGATCAGGACTGCCAAGTCCAAGAAGTCTTCCAAGCGGAAAGAGTCTTCCTCATCTTCCTCATCCTCTGAGTCCTCTTCTTCCTCGAGTGGCTCCGTGGTCTCCTACCACAGCTCGGGCAGGCCCAGGAAGGGATCGGCCCGCAGAGCCTCTGGATCTGAGGATGAGGATGCAAAGGAGCAGAGGAAGAAGAAGAAGAAGAGTATGGATAGCTTGGTGAAGAAGTACCTGCACAGAAGTGACAGTGACTGATACATAGCAGTAGGTGCTGCCTGGAAGTGCCCTGAAAGCATGATATGACCCTAATGTCACATGACTGCAGTGTGCATATGACCTCTGATCCATAGCATGTTGAACGCGGCTCTCAGCAGCCACTGTTAATATTGTGATGAGTGGTTATATTTATGACTAACAGAGGACACCTGAGGGGGTGGGACCAGTCCCTTTTAGAGAAACAGGAACTGTTATTAACAAACAGGAACTGTCTATTAACAAATTACTGGATCGGTGTAAATGAAAAGTCTACTAAACATAATAAGTTGAAGCACATGGCTTGTAACCCCAGATCTGATGCGCTATGCTGTATGTCGCATGTTAGGAAGGTGGTGCAGTGACATGTGTTGGTCTCGTTGAAAGAAAAGGGCCCCCCAGTTGGTCCGAGCTGTGCTTGGTGCTGGTGTGTCGAGTGTGTCCTGCCCGTCAGTGATCCAGGTTCTGTTCCCTTTTGCAGCCCACCCTCCTATCGCTCACACCCCGACAGCAACAGACCCAGTGGAGGACAGATGGATGACGGCCCCCCCCCCCCAGTCTACTGTGGCAACCTGAACAGCAGTGATGGGCGGGCGAGGTCTGAGATGACAACGTAATAGCGACATGCTTCAGAACAGAAAGACAGACTTAGACGGACAAATTGTCAGACAGAATAAGACTCTCAGACTGACTGACAGACTAAGACTGACAGACTGAGACTGATAGACAGACTGACAGACAGACTGAGACTGACAGACTGACTGTGACTGACAGACTAACAGAGAAACTGAGACTGACAGAGATTGACAGACAACATAATCTGCTGTCTCTCTCTCTCTCTGATTGTGCTGCCTGATATCTGAATGGATAAATGTTAGTAGGGTGTCTGGCTGTACCTTTACTTTCATAAACTTAACGAACAAACGAAGCAGCTGCCACCTAGACCCACAGAGAGCCCCCGGCTGGACCCTTACACCCACGTACACTGTAGAGCGCACACTCTTACGTGTTTTACCTATGCCTGTCCCTTAGTGGCACGTGGCTGCCTGCTGCTGTCTCTCAGAGCAGAATAAAACCAAGAGGGTCAGTGTTCTTTAGACATGATCTCCTTAGTGAGGCTTAGCCGGGAAATACACGCTCCTTGGCATCCTGCTTCTGGTTGTGTTAAGACTTCCTAGTTAATTAGCTCTGCTGTCTTGGCTTTAGCTCGATTTATCATGAACACAGGAAGGTGAGTGGGGGGGGGGTGGGTGTTGTTTCCTTAGCGGCTGCTGGGGAGGGGGGTGCATTTGCACACTGCAGTGACGGGAAGCTGTGAGGAATTCTAAGAGACTCCCCAGTAGGGTTGGCCTGGCCCTTTGTCAGGGCCCAAAGCAAAATGTGATTAGCCTAGCTGTCATTTGTCATCTTCCTTCCCGTTCTAACAGGCTGATCAGTGGGGGCGCCCCCTGGTGGCCGCTGGGCCCTAAGCAGCCGCTTAGTTTGCTTATGCCTTGGGCCTGCCCTGTTCCATAGCGCAATGGGACTGGAATGGCAATCTGTTTACTGAAGGTCCTCTTGACCTTCTAAGTGATAAGGCTTTCTGCGCTCTTTACGAGTGTGTGCACATGTAAGTGTGTGAGCGTGATCGCTTCCAGATCGATATCTGATCATGTCGATAACAGATATATCGTGCATATTATATAATAAAGTTTGCGATTTACTGTAGGCTTTAGGTGCTGGGATTTTTGCATCTGTCTCCTAAATGTACATAAAAAGGCGTGTGTTTTTAAGGATCCTGATTGGAGGTTTACTGATGAATGATGGTGAGAGCACCCCATGTTTGCTCACCTCGAACCCTGAGCTGGGGCTAAGTTAAATCTAAGTTTAGCCTCCCTGACTTTGAGATTGGATGGAGATTGTGAAAAACACACATCTATATGAGAGGGGACACACTTTGGCCAGAATGAACCATTTGAAAGGTTTTTATTCACTATTTAAGAGTAATAAAAGCTGGCTTGTATTTAAACTCAGACGCCTGTGGGTCTTTATTACAGCTGTCGTCCGGTTTCATTCCTGAACTGCTGTGAGGTCACCTAACCTGTAGAAGTCATCGCCTGGATGAGCTCTCACTTACCGGGTCGGTTCTGCATACTAATCAGAACCGCACAGTTGGTGGTGCTGGCATAACATGAAGCAGAATAAAGACTATGTGACATCATCCCCTCATATGCATTGATGTCATGTGACATCATCCCCACAGTGGTGGTGTGTGACATCATCCCCACATATATACCAACGTTATGTGACATCATCGCCACATAGATACCAACGTCATGTGACATCATCCCCACATATACGGTACCAGTCAGACACGCCTTCCCATAGAAAGGTTTATTTGTACTATTCTCTACATCTTAGAATAATTATAAAGGCATCAAAACTGTACAATAACTTATATGGAATTATGCATTGACTGAAAAAGTATTAAACTGAAACAGTCATTTGTTTGAGGAGGGGGCAGCTTTGTGAGTTGTGAGTTAAAAGGATGCTGGTTCAAATCCCGCAGTCAGCAGAGTGATGCCACCATTGGTTCCTTGACCAATTGCTCCAGAGACTGGCTGACCCTACTGTCTCCTCCATGCCAGTTCCATGAGGCGGCCTCCTAGGATGCTTTTCCACCTGTCCTGAAGGAGGTCCCGCATATATGCTGAGTACTCATTGGCTGTTTTTCCTCCACTATAATGCCTTTAGGTCAGTTGGTCAGGTCATGTGATGCCACACTAACACTCTCCTTTGTCGGTGGTTTGGCATGTCCAAACTTTTGACTAACACTGTACACTGGTATTACAGGATGTCATCCTTTTCCCACACACTGGCATCATGTGACATCATCCCCACATATACATTGATGTCATGTGACATCATGCCCAAATGTACAGTGATGGCATGTGGCATCATTCCTACATCGGCACTGTTGTCACATGATATCATCCCCCACCTATACATCATGTGACGTCATCCCCACATATATAGCAACGTTATGTGACATCATTGCCACATAGATACCAACATCATGTGACATCATCCCCACATATATACTATAATGTGACGTCATCCCCACATATATACCAACGTTATGTGACATCATCGCCACATAGATACCAACATCATGTGACATCATCCCCACATATATGCCATCATGTGATCACCCCCACACCGGTGATTACCCCCACACATTATATACATCAGTGTAGCATGTCACCCAAGTGCATGTTTCCCAGGGGAGGGGGGCAGCTTGACCCATACTAGATGTCTTTCAAATAGCTGACACAGGAAACCCCAAAAAAGCGTTGCCGTGGTTTTTCTTGTGTTGCACTAGGCCATTGGGCTCCCTTAAAAGAACTTTTACTGCCCACCCTGGTGCTCTGGCATAAGCCCAAATGTCTCGGACATGTGCAAAGCCCCATACAGGCTGTGTGGCTGAAGACGCCAGCATTTACTCATCCTAAGCAGGCAGGTTTGAGCGGGATTGCTGTTGGACCTTGGATAATGGTTTTCGAGATGTGAATGTGGCGGTTTCCTCCCAGTGAGCGTTTGACGGTCCGTGTGCCCGGCGGCTTTTTATTTATTTATTTAGTCACGGAAGCTGACTTCAGCCTCCCCCACACTGCAAAAGGGGGCCGCTGTGCCTTTATTCAGAACCAGGTCAGATCTCCGTGGGTCACCGTGTGCTGGAACAGCCCGCTTAGAGCTGCGTTTGGGCCGCCGTCTTACACCTGGATCGAGTGCGGTGCTTGGGTGTCTGTGTGGGCAGCAGAGCGGTTGTGTGCTTGCGTGAATCAGCATCACAGGCACACGTGTGATGCCTGGGACCGGGGGGCGGGGGGGCGGGGGGCAGTCCGGCAAGGCCACCGCCCCCACACCACCTGAACAAAAGCCTCCATTACTCATGCAAGCAAGGCTGCTTCCTGGCAGAGCCACAACATGATAACGTCACACGACTGCCCCCGGACCCATCTGTAAGGGATCTGATGGCGGCCAGCAGGTGGCGTGGCGGCTAAGGGCTTGAACCTGTGAGTAAACAACACATACTGCTGTGAAGTCAGTCAAATTAAAAATGCCAAGATGATTATGTGCCTTTAGATGAGCTTATGCTAAGAGACTGAATTAATGAAAGGCTCGGGGATGGACTGTGGCCAGGAATTGAAAGATTCACTCCCAATGGGATGGGGGGCGGACAGAGGATCTCATTTTCTGGCAGTAAAATATACCTCCGCATGAAAATAAAAGACAAGAGTGACTAACGATTTCTCTGTTAAGTTGCTGGTCTTTGTAGCTTTTTCCATCTGGCTCTGTCTCAAAGACAGGGGGAACTGTTCGCTGCAGCAGCACTGCGGGGATCCTCTGGGATCCCCAGACAGTTCACATTTTTGCTCCTTCCCAGCTCCCTGCCAGACAGTTCACATTTTTGCTCCCTCCCTCCATATGGACCCCAGTCCCTTCTGTTTCTTTCAGCTCCACTAAAGGAAAGTGTAAACTGGGCCTTCCCTCTCTGTTAGTTAAAGGATCTCAGTGATCCATTTAGATATTCACTCAAAATCCAAAATCAAACCGTGTAATTTAGGCGTGATTGTCACAAAGGATTCTGGGAAGTGGTCGCCTCGCCCACACTGCCAGCCTCAGAAAAGGCATCCAAGCTTTGAACTCTTTTTCAGAGGCTTATTAAGCTCAAACATTGCTTCTAAACATCTTTCTCCCTGTTTAACTCTTCATTGATAGATAGGTCATGTGATACACGCAGGTAAATCACAGTTTCATGCTCGTGCTTCTCTGTGTTGCCTCTTCACCACAGTAACTTCTGATCTGACTGAACGAAACCAAGGCAACTTCCAATGCGTGATCTTTATCCCATCAGATTAACTGAATTATATAATTAGCAAGCTATATAGCCGTTCTAAACAAACAAACAAACATATATAAACATGCATGGGCTACCTTCGCTATTTACAAGCATTACGAACGAAATATATTTTCTGTCCAGTGGATGTTGATGCCATGATCCAGAGATGACATCACATGACCCTACGGCATGTAGAGATGTTTGTAATGTATTTACCATCTGATGTTTATCATGTTTTCCTGTTGTGGGAATTCTGGGTATTTTTACCAAAGCCCTTCAGCATAAGTACCTTCTCCAAGGTTGCAGCAGTAAGGCCTGCTCTGGGAAGGTCCCAGTCCACCACTTACTCTGCTATTTTAGGAAGTTTAAAATGACTGAGGCACCTGGAACAGGTGTATCCTCTCCTCCATCCTGGGAACGGGCTGTGATCCCACTCCTTAATGGATCACTTGGATGTCATAACCTTCACACATCCAGTCACTGCCTCCTAGACTTTTAACCCTTTCTGGGCTAAAGCTGCAAACCTTTTGACCATCTGGTCCAGATCCAGCATGTTACCCCATCCTCCCCCCCCCCCACAGTGCCAACACCCATCAACCATGCCTGCATTTGAGGCCTTACTGCCTGAATTTGCTCCTGGCTGGTTTGGCTCCATACCTTCCCTTTTGATATCCTCCTGGAAGCAGAGGAGCGAAGGATCACGGGAATGTTTCAAGCCACAATGTGCATGAGAGAAATATTTCTCACACCCAGGGGATTTAGCGATGGGAGGAAAAAGGTGGTAAGGTAAGATCTTCACAAAGAGAGCCTTGAAAACAGCAAGATCGGAGCAAAAAGGTCATGATACGGTCTAACATTGACCTCTGATGTCTCACTCCATGCAGCCAGGGTAAGTTTACGAAGGTTCTGGTTATAGTAGCCTGATGGTTGGACTCAGAGATGCAAGGGTCTGAGAGACACCATTAGGAGAACAGCAGAGGGTCTCACACGGGCTTCTGAAGGTATCTCAAGAACCTGCACTGTGCACCCTGTACAACTCCCACCCAGGCTCAGTATTCTCAAGGCTGTACGGAACTAGAGGAGCTGTTGTCGTGGGGTAAGAACAACAGACGTCCTTCTCTGAAGCGGCTTGCCCTCAGCCTCCCCCATGTGGGCCCTCTGAGCTCATCGGCACAGCTTCCAGCCCGCAGACGACCGGTGACTCACGGTCGATGGTGCTGATCTGGTGTGGAAAGCAAGAAGATGTAGGCCTGAAGAGCAATGACGTGGCGGCACAGCGAAAACCTATAAAATCACCGAGTGGGACTCTTAGCAAGTGTGGTTAAGCAGGGTTGTTAGCTTAGACTGCTAATTAGGGTTTTTGGCTAATATGAGGAAGCGGGGTTGTTAGCTAAGATGTCAGACATGCCACCAATCTTACAGAAAATCTATATTATTCCATTATAAACCTAAAATTAGCTACATCAAAAGCGTCGGGGTAGTTTGCAAACCCTACAGACTATTTCCAAGGTAATAAAACTCTTACATACATGTAAAAGAGTGTGCGGACTTTTCTGACAACCCTGCCTTAGGAGTACTGACTTCTGGGAGGATGACGTGGCAGGACGCCCAACCCACGTGGACGGTGCTGATGGTAGAATTTCCAAGTATATGTCTAACCTGGCCTGCATGCAACATAAAAAGTGGCATCACCTGCATGAGGACGTGAAGGGCCGGGTGGAGGAATGGGGCGCCCCCTGCAGGAAGCTGACGGTAAACATTAGCATCTGCATTGACATGCACGTCTCACATACAAGTGATCAAATGATTTCACACTGATTGTCACTGTGATATGAATATAAAAGTACAGAAAACATTCTCAAACTCCCTTAAAACCTGAAATGCATTTACTTATCTTTTAAAAGCAGGATTTTGCCCATATACAAACCCACAAAACTACTTATTCTGTGTGTGGCTCAGTGGGTTTGGATGCCAAGCGTGTGATTGGAAGGTCACTAGTTAAAATCCCAGTGTTGGCAGACTAATTCCACCCCAAGGTCCTTAACAACCCTTTGCTCAAAAATTTATCAAATGATTCAAGCTTAGGATGAAAGCACCTGCTGAATGAATAAAGTGTGTGTAGAGAGTGGTGTTTAGGGACAGTGAGTGTGTGTGTGTAGTCATCGCGCAGTGTCTGTTTCATGAATATTACATGACCCACTCACCCCCACTCCATCTGAAGTCTCCAGGTAAACTCACAGAGCTGCAATTATCAGTTGTCAGTTTCCCGATGCTTCCCACCGGGAATCTGGACAGCATCTTCCTCTGATACCGGGGGGCACATAAACAACAACAGCTCCACGTGTCAGACACTCCCATTCGTAGCCATAGGAGTGCCCGAAGTTCCGCTAGTGCTGCTTATGTTGCGTATCTTGGGAGAATGTCGCTTGACCTAAACGTCGCTTCCTCTAGCCGAACATGCCACCGACACCTAAAGCTCTCTCCTGAGCCCAAGATCCAGGGCGCAGATCCCTGAGAAGACATCATTCCCCCCTGGGGTCTGCCTTATCTGGGACTGCGGCTTCACTACACAAGACTTTTAATAGAATAATTCGTGTTTACTTCCAGCATATGTATGTTCAATCAGAGTGTCCTCATTTTTCAACAAACGCTGTGTGATTTTATTACCTATTTAAACACTGTAAATATTGTAACGAGGCATGCCCTTTATAATTTAATCAGACGGATGAGTCAATCTCGATATTATTAACTTGAAATGTAATCGTTTGCTCGTTTTCGGGCCATTGTCAGTCAACTGGAGTCCTGTCAAACACAGACGTCGTCCAACGCGGTCCAGTGGCAGTGTGGGTATCAGACGGTCTGAGAGACCTTGCGGTGAGGCGGCAGCTAACGGGCACGAGGACCGTGCGCGTGGCCCCCGGTCTGCCTGCGGAGTAAACGAGCCGTGACGCGTGACACGCACCCCGCTGCTCGTGCCACCCACGTGACGGGAGAGACAGTAGCCTTGCGGAGTCGCCGTGACAGACGCTGCTTGGATCGCGGCGCCCCCAGTGTGACACCCTGAGGTTTCCGCGGCAACGACCAGTATCCCAGCTGGACTCCATCACCTTCACAACTGTGGCGCCACAACCACAAAAGTAAAATGTTCTTTTGCCCCCCACCCCTCTCTGTGTGATACACATACAGTGTCAGAGGGGATCTTCTCTCACTGCCTTGGAGGCACGGCGTCCCTGAGGATACCCTAGTATGCCCTGCGTGTGCTCATCCTCAGTTGCTCATTACCTAGCTGGATGGTCAGTCTCCTCACTTGTCATCAATCAGGCACAAGTTAAAAGGTGCCCCGAAAGCTGGGGGTCTAATCACAGCGGTCACAGTTTTTAAGAAGATATCCGAGTCTGAGACCGAACCAAACTGGTTTGATTACACAAACACAATTAAAAACGGGAATCGCCGAGCCCACAAATCTGCACGCGGTTCAGTGTCAGGCTGGCGCGTTTTAAGACGACACTAAGATGACGCTAAGCCTGCACTGACCTTCCAGCACGGGGGGAGGGGGGCAGAGGGTTTAATCGCCTTAAACCTGATAGCCCCCCCGCCCTTGTCTCTCCTAATCTCCAGTTCTAGAAGGAAGTGGGGGCGGGGCTCATTAATCAGAAGGAAGTTTTTTGTGGAAGTTTTGCCTTAAGATGTGTGGGGTAACCGTACAGGGTGGCGACCTACGGCGGAACAGTAAAGCAAAAATGCGGCTTCATAATTGTTTTAATGATACTGGAATTTAACATGTGATTTGAACTACGCATGCACTGTGTGGGTCTACTTTATGGAGCAGTTAAAAGTTTGTGAGCGGCTGTTTTTCCCGACCTGCAGGTGGCGCTGTTCTGTCCTGGCGGATGTGTTTATTGTGAAACGTTGCGCTCACGCCGTGATAATCCCACAAGGTCATTTTAAGAGTGGCACTTTGCATGAGTGATGCTTTGTCCTTCATTATTATTCTGCTAAAGCCACCCCCACCCCCTCCCCCGCTGAAGCGGGTGTCGATGCGTGCTCAAGCAGAATCTGGGATTATTTCATATCTCTTCAAAAAACGTTATGAATTTCGTTCGCTTCTGTTACAGTGAACTATCACATTCGAGTGCGTAATCTTCCAAGAGACACCTAGGAGAATCTATTGGTACCAGGATGACTAACGGTCCAGTAAATTAGATTTTTGGTCCGGTTTTTAATGTCACGTACACCATCCAGTTTTCTAGTTAAAGCGTGTCCTGTGTGTGTCTGTGTATATCTGAGTGCCCGCCCCGTGGACCGGCATCCCGTTCAGGTGTTCCCTACGGTAGCCCTATTTAACTTAAGTGATTATGAATAGATCACATTGTTTTCCTGAAACCTCCCTATATTTGTGAACTTTATACCCTGTGGAACGTCAGGACAACTGTATTTTTCAATAAAAAAAATCTACCCGGTTTCACACTGTCAGGGTGCCTCTGATTATGGAAAAATAACAGCGGGATTGTTGTATAGTAACACAGATATGTGTATAATAATGGATAACACGGCGGCCGGGGGCGGTTTGGGTCCCCAAGCACATCTGGCCGGGGGGTGGGTCTTGCGCTCCAGCTGTTCCTGCTGCGGACGCTAGGCGCTGTCCTCGGTGCTGCAGGGTGCCGGGGGGCTGCTGCTTTCGGGCTGCCGACACACTTCGGGCTGACAGCCTCTTCGCGATCAGCCGCTCGCCTCACTCCGAGTCGAGCCGCCGTGCCGTGCGCTGCCTGCCTGCCTTACTGCCTGCCGGGCTTTCACTCCGCGCCTTTGCTGCTTTTTGGTTCTTTAAAGTGTTAGATGCGCTTCCGGAGCCGGATGAACACACTCCAGTAGACATGTGTGCGGGAAGAGGCTTGCTGATGAAGCTGCTGCTGCTGGGTGTGCTTGAGATGTGCGACGGAGGTAAGGACGCGTCAGCCGCTCATCAGCCGCTTATCGAGCGGCGCCTCACCCTTAGCCACCTCATTGTGCTAATTAGATGTTTCATTTAATAGTGGGGTCTTGCTGCGGGTATAAACGCCTGTTATTTCTCCTGGAGTGGAAACGGTGGACGAACTGCGAAGATGAAAGCTTAACGGCTCACACGTGGAGATCGGCGCTTTTAATAAGGCGTTTATTCCTGTACGGAGGCCCCCCCCCCCGGTCGGTAACCTGTTGTCATTGTACATACACAGTATGGTACCGGACACACATTGCAAACATCCTGTGTGATAAATAATCGAAACTTTTCACAGTTCGCCGCTTTCTGCAGGCATTTACATTAGTTTGATTTAGTAGAAAGTCTCAATACTGAAATGTATGTTTGCGGAGGGTGTTTGCGTTTTACCTTCAAACTAGATCATATATTACCCGGGCCGGGTTCCTGAAGGAGATTTAACTGGGATTGTCTTTTAGCTTCGATTGTCCCGGGATATCTGTGTGCCTTTATGAGAAGCCCGTTTCACAGAGATATTCGCGTTGAATTTAATTTTAACTTGCTTACCGAAGTCTCATCTTTCCTGTCTTGTGGATTAGGTTAATGCAATAACATGCTCAAAGGATTCTTCTTCTATTCAATTTTCTCCATACATTTTGACAGCAAGTTTTGAAATTATACTGCACTAGGCAAAAAGTACATAAATCTGTACCCCATGAAAGTTTAATTAAATATGCTTTTGTATGTGAAAATCACATAGGTATGTCTTTAAAAACATTACGCACTAGCGGTAATATGGATTTTTATTTGCCCAGTTTAGTTCCGTTTAGGCCTATATGTATTAATCCGTCAGCGGCTAGAGGGAGTTTACTTAGCACACAAAGACACTGTTTCTCAATTACCGGGCAAATTGGGTGCTTTTCCGCGTTAAAATGCGTGATTTTGATCGGGGAGCGCTGTAATTCTTGGCGTGCCGGAGGAGCGCATTGAAGACAGATGCGCTAAGGGCGCCTTAATCCCGCAGAAGTGCGCAGATTGCAGCTCGGTCTGCCCGACCCGGCTGTTGGGGCGCCGAGCTTCTCATCCGGATCCACCCGTTTCGGCTTCACACCTGCTGCCCGTCACACTCCTCCGATTTACGATCTGCCAGCCTGCTTTGCTTTCACTGTGGCTTTTCGTCTAAGTTTTCTTTATTTAATGTAATATTTTCCTTTCCTTGAGCACTACTCCCATGGCCGCCCATATGTGTCTCAGTCACACACTTTCACCTCCCGTTACGCCGAGACTGATCACCACTTGACCCGAAGGCTGCACACCGCGGGCGGGGTCGCCAGACTTCTTGGCGGATGGCTTTTTGCGGGGTCTGCTCTGTTTTATAACTTGCTCTGAAGTACTTGGGTGAGACGTGCGGAAGGCGTTAACATCTGAAACCCTTGCAGATGGCTTTGGGAATGTTTCTCAGCTTCCTAATTAAATGTAAACTGAAAAAACATGATCGATCTGTGACAGAAAGGGATGTTTTATGTATTACAAATCTCATTAGAATAATGATGAGGGAGAATCCTCTTTGACAGATGGCAGCTGGACGGGGCGTTTTTAATGAAGATAAGAAAGAATGTTAAATTAGACTGTGACTGAGCCCTTCACTTGAGATTTGGAGCAAGGGAACGGGTTCCTTGTTAGTTTTCTTCTGCAAAAATTACAGTGTGACAGCCAACAGAAGGACAGCTGTCATTTTTGATACAGCCCAGGTGCATTATGGGACTGGTTTTAAACTTCCTGCCGGTGTTTCTGCCCACACAGATTTCTTAGTAAGCTGATTGTACGCTGAAAAGTCTGACTCAGTCTGCTTCTCCTTCTCCAGCGAGGCCCCATTAAGTGGGCCCACTTTTGTAGACACCGTGGTTCGGCTGGGAGGCCACATCTTCCCTCTGCTGCTCTCTTGGGTTTCCCAGGGTTCTTTTTGATTGTCCTACCCTCTCTGCTGATGGGTGTAAGTCAGAGCTGCTTTCTCATTAGGGTGAGATGGAGACTGAAGGTGGCAGAGTGTTTGGTTGGAAGGAGTGAGCAGCATTGTGCTGTTCTAATGCTGTTCCCAGTTGGGAAACTTTGGGTTCAGATTTATTCAGGTGCCTGTCCTGCTGTGCCGAGAGGGATAAATGAGAAAGTATGGCGTACATCTACTGCCGGATTTGTGGCCTCAAGCGGTTAGTTGGGACACCGGGCTCCTTCCACCTCTCCTGTATGCAGGGGTGTGGCCACAGGGGAACTGGCCCCAGCTGATTGGCTCCTGGAGTGCCCTTTTCCTGTCACTCATCGATTCAAAACATATTACTGGCTAAAGATATGGTCTAGTCCTGTGTATGAATTATGTCGCCTCTTATTACCTTAATCAGGGGCAGTTTAGTGTCTATCCGGTTTAATGACTGTTTTCACTCCCCGTAAGCAGGTGAGTGTTCTCACACAGCCCATCCTGAACCTGCTAAAGTCACCCTCTTTAATGCACTTAATAAGCATTCAAGGTGGCTTTTCTGAAGTCTGCGTGGGATGCGAGTGCTGCGTCAGGGGACAGCCTGGGGGGTGCAGCGTCTGGTGGGGAGGGCAAAGACGAACAAAAAAATGACTGAAGGAAACCTCTCAGGGGGAAGGCTGTTCTGAGAGGGGCAAGTCCAGGTGGGCAGGAATAAGCATTTCAACCAATGAGAGGGGCAGCTGGCCAGTGTTTGACCAATGGGGGGCCAAGTTTGGGCTGAGTCACTCAGATGAGGAGAATGAATGCTCTTCTCTGGTGGCACTGTGTGTGTGTGTGTGTGTGTGTGTGTGCTCACTGCCCCAGTTCACTCTGTGTCCATGTGTGTCAGATCTCTTCTGATGTGGTGATTTGAGCTGTATAACGCTGCTTTCTGTGGAACTGCAGCTGCTCAGCTGAAACCTGTCCTGCCCACAGCTGGATGGTCAGACACTAGCTGAGAGCCTCCACACCGAATCACTTCCCCCCCCCCCCCCCCACATAAATGGGTGATCTCACAGCAATTCTCGGATTGTCCTGCATACCTCTGCACCGCGTTATTTTGTGTGTGTGTGTGTCACTCTTGACCGCGTTCCTCATCTCCTGATCCGCTGTGGGTTTCCTTGTCGCTCCCTTCAGTGTCTCACAGACACTCTGAAGCTCCGCAGATCCGCGAAGCACCACGGACTCGCAAGTGCTAAAACGGAGTTATTCGGAGTCGACAGCACTCACCACAGAAGCTCCACCCCTCCCCCCACCGCCACCCTCTCCACCCAGTTTCTCCTGGAAACTCTTCTGACACACTAATATTTGTGTTTGGCATTTTTGCCCCAGTACAGAGTAACAGTCAGACAGGCTGTCGTCAGTGGGAAGGCAGAGATCGAGTATAATCACACAGGCGGATCGTCCCAGTTGCCTGGAGCCAGCACATGAGCTCTGAGGAGCAGTATGATCTCGTCCGCCACCATGAGAAAAAGTGTGAAGGTGTAGTTGCCCAGTAAGCCATCATCCGTAGTGGAGTTGGGGGAACATCTAGCTGATTCATGAAGGAACTGATGTGGTGACTTGCCGCATCAGTGTGCTTCTGCACATTAGTGTGTGTGTGTGTGTGACGTGTATGTGAATATCATTCTATATAATTAGCGGTTTTGTCTAAAAGCTCCGTCCTTTAGCTGGGTCGTCCGCTCACACGTCTCGGTGGGTTCCTGAAGTGAAGTTCTTTTGCTCAAGGGAACAACCGCGGCAGTGGGAGTTCATCGCTGGCCCGTGACCTAACCATTACGCCCCCTGCTGGTTATTGGAAGGATCTGTATACTGTACGGAGAACTTTGTGCTTGAGCAGGTGGTTTAATTATATTACTGAGATTGTTCCTCCATAGGGAAGGGTGTCTGTGGTGAGACACCCCCCCCCCCCCCCCCCCCCCCCCCCCCCCCTTTTTTTTTTTCTGGGAGCGCGGGGGGGGGGGGGGGGGGGGGGGAGTTAACAGCCCTGGGAGTTAATCCCACCTGCAATCCACCTGTTTAACCTGCCACCCCCTGTAGAGCATCACCCTGCAGTATCCCAATGCCTGTCACCATGGCGATCGGTCCCTCGTGAACAGCGGATTCGTAACTGACCAGAACAAAGCGGGGGAGGCACTAGAAGGGGGGGGGAGGTCTTACAGGAAAGCAGGGTAAAAGCCGTACTCCGTCGCGTCCCATACATAAACACCCACACCTACCCCCAGAAGTTCGGCTCGGCTCTGTCCTGTTTCCTGCTGTTTCCGAGGCGGATGGACCGGGAATGCCGTCTGGCTCTCAGATCCTGGGATCCGGCCCGGCTCTCCGGCTCGGAGGACCCGTGGTGTAGCAGCTTGTGACTCCTGGCGTCTTGCAGTGACCAAATGAAGCGGATTAGCTCCCTCTGTTCTGCTGGCTGTGCTGCTGCTGTCTTTGTGACCGCACCATCCTGGCTGTTCATCCGACTCCTTTCAGAGCGATCCACATTTTTACCCGATTTATATGGCTGGGTACTTCACTAGACTAATTAAGTGCTTTACCCGCGCATCCAGAACAGAGTATTCAGCAGCGTTCAGCCTGTTAATCCATGCCCTGAACTACTGCGCCACATGTTGACCTGATTATTGACAGATGCTTCTACGCCGAGTGTGAAACGTCCCACTAATCTTAATAAGACCAAATATGAGAGCAAGGTATGGGGATGTGGGATTGCTCGAACCCCTGGTAGAATGACCACGATAGGCCTTCTAGGGATGATTTCACAGGAAAGGTTTAGCGGAGAAGCTGTGTTGTAATTGGGTTTCTTCTTGGATACATTAAGCCAGCTCTACTAATCCTACATGACATGGCATAGCAGAGCATGAGGCAGAACCACATCTGTCGTGTTATAGTCTGTGTGCCCAGTGTGGGTTTATGGGTGTGAAAAACAGTGCCCCCTATGTCAGGTCCAGCATAAGCTTGTGGTGGAGACCCTGGCTT